CGCCCGCGCAGCCCGCCGCCGCCGCGGGCAGACCCAACTCCGCTCGGCTCCGCTCGGCTCGGTGCGCGCCGCGGCCATGCAGCGCCGGGGCGCCCTGTTCGGCGTGCCGGGCGGCAGCGGCAGCAGGAAGATGGCTGCAGGGGACATCGGCGAGCTGCTGGTGCCCCACATGCCCACGATCCGCGTGCCCAGGTCCGGGGACAGGGTCTACAAGACCGAATGCGCCTTCTCCTACGACTCGCCGGTGAGTGGGGCTGGGCTGCGCTGCCGGCGCCCGGGGGAGGTGGCGGTGCCGGCGGCCTGCGCGGCTGCGAGCCGGGGAGCTGGGCGGCACGTGAAGCGGGGCGGGGAAGATGCGCAGTGGCCGCGGGATCTCCTGCTCCGGGCGGCGGAGTTGGCTCTGGGGTCCCGCAGTTCGGGCGAGCGCCGACTGCGTGCCTGCTGGGGGACTGGGCCGCTTGCCTGCAGCCCGAAGTGGGGGTCGCCCGGGGGGTTCTGCTTCCGCCAGCCCTTCCGAGGCTGGCAAGGGCCTCAGGTCCCCACCAGCCCTGTCCCCAACTCCGCCAGCGTTTGGAAGATCGAGTGGAAAGAGCCCCCTGATCCGGGACTGCACGGTGCAGAGGGTTTGCGTCCTCCTGGAGGCGAGAGCGCAGGGCGCGTAGGTGGACGGATGGATCCCCTTGGACACCCATAGCCTTTCTCTTGGACCCTTTGCTTTGCCCAGGGATTCCCACTCCTGGACAACCCCAATTTCCCCTTGGAGCTTTGCTGCCTCCACTTTCCATTTCTCCGCACTCCTTTTCTTTCCGTAAGAATGTCAGAAGAAACCTCTGGCACCTCTACCTGGGCGGCAGAAATAGGGAAATCTCCTGGATTGTTATGGTTGTCTTAGACCTCTCCTCTTTCCCTTTAAGTGAGTCACTTGGACTGAAATGCACTCGTATAAATTATTAAAAGTTCAATCTCGAATCGTGACCTCAGAGGCTGGAGGGGGAAGTAAAGACGGATGCCTGCCTTCCACCCAGGACACCGATGGTGGTTTTCACCAGGTTGTATGTCTGTGTGTGTGTGAGAAGGGAAAGGAGGGCGACTGTCCCTTCCAGGAGTCAAAATGGGCTTCAAAGTGACTCAGCTGTCTGGCGTCTATCATGTCTTTCTGAGGACCAGGTTATTTTTATCCTCCCACTTTAGATCTCATGTGTCACCCCGCAGATCCCAGGGCAACTGGGAGGTGCCTGGATTGGAGGCAGGTTTCACAAGAGTCTAACACATTTTATTCATATTCTGTAGAGTGTTGTTGGAGAAAAGACAACAACCACCCAATGAGTGGCACATGTTCCACAGTATCTTGTGGGTTACTTGGCTGATTTCAAAGCACTTTGGTTGGTATACAGTGGAGCACCAGCGTTCATAGACTCGCTGTGACATTTAGTTTTCCTTTTATGCTAATTCCAGATCATTTGGGGGATAAAAATCTCACTTATTTGTTAACTACTTATTTTTTTTTCTTTTGAAAAGTTCTGTGTAAAGTGGAATGAAATGGTTGTGTTTAATCACGTTCCCACTATTTAAAGTGATTGTCAGCAGTGGCATTCAATTCTGTTATCCACAAAGGATTTGAAAATTTCAGATTTTGTGTCCAGTGCTGGGCAGGTTCCCACCAATAGCTCCTAAGGGTGCAGAAGGATGGTCTTCACTTAAGTAACTGACAGAGTGGGACGTCCAGGAAGAAAACAGTGGCCTGAAAAAGTCGTTGAGGAGAGCACAACATGTCAGCTGCGTAAAACTGCTTTTTCTGTGTTTGGTCTGGGTTGATCTTCAAATTTTTTTAACAAATTTTTCATTGGTGACCTTTACCTCATTATATAGTGTATAGCAGGTGTGAGAAAGCTGACGATTTAAATTCACGTCTACAGATAGTTATTGGGAGCTTACTGTGTGCCAAACACCGTTCTAGAAGCATCTTGTCCGATGTAAAATGATGATTTCATTCATTCCTTGGGGAAGACTGGGCTTATTTACAAGGCCGATGAATCAGTATATTTCATTTTCTGTTTCATGGAGGAAGAGAAAGAGGATTTTATAACAAGTTTGACTAAAGCACGGTGCATGATAATGTGAGATCTTCCCCTATGGCAGTTACTTAGCACTTCATCACGAACCAGGCAAGGTTTCTTGAGCACCTACTATGTGCCACCTCATATAGGCATGGCTGTAAAAATGATACAGAGCAAAATGCCTCGGTGCCAAACACACCAGAAACTTTAACCCGCAAGTATTATAGGACTGTTGTAGAGAAAAGACCAAAAAATCATTTGATTAAAAAAAAAAGTAATCCTTGCTTTGGAACCTTTTGAAAAAGGTCATAGATAAAGATGGATAGAAATAAAGGAGACCAACATTCCAAACAAGGTAAATCACATGTGTAAACACACAGAGTGTGAACATTATTTTCTTATTTGCTTGTACTGTATTTGGAAGGAAAATATTGATTTCACAAGAAGTGAGTAGAAGATGGGGTCCTTGAATACCTAGAACAGGATCTATGTACATGTAGTCAGTTATGGAAAGCTACTTACAGTAATGTGATGTGCATTGCTGTTAGAGGAAGACTGAATTGGTAAACTTTTATTATGTATCTACCTTTGCTGTGCTTCACCATTTTGGGGTGTGAGTATTGAGTGGGATGGTATGATTACTCATTTTAGTATCCCTGTCCTTCCATTCTTTTTTTTTTAATATGTTTTTATTGATTTCAGAGAGAGGAAGGGAGAAGGAGAGAGAGTTAGAAACATTAATGATGAGAGAGAATCATCAATTGGCTGCCTCCTGTATGTCCCCTACTGGGGATCGAGCCCACAACTGGGAATGGAACCATGTCCTCCTGGTTTATGGGTCGATGCTCAACCACTGAGCCACATTGGCCAGGCCCTATCCTTTCTTTCTTCTCACCTTCTAGGGCTTAGTGCAAAGCAGGTGCTCAGTAACAGTTCTTCTGGGGTGAGTGAGAATTTGTTTTTTCATCTGCTAATTTGGTTTCATCCCAGACCCACTTTGCTACCTCAACCTGTAGGTTCACCTCTCCATGGCTTGGCTCACCTTGCAAGATCTGTAATGTGACCTTCCTGGAGGGTGGGGATGTGCATCTTTGTGTCCTCAGTAGCCTGCCCAGCATCTGGTATAAATACCAGGAACTTAATGAATACTCACCATTCTAGGAAATGTATGAATTACATGTAGTTATAGGTTCTGAAAATGGTAAGGACACAACATATCGGAAACTTTGGGAAAGGAATCATGGGGATTATGTAGAATGTGGTAACTTCATTGATTGTGGGGTATAGGATTCAGACAGGCAGAATCCTAACTCTGTCACCCAGCTCTGTAACTTCTATCTGCCTCACTTTCTCCATCTGTGAAATGGGGCCAATAACAGAACCTACCTCATGGGGTTGTTTTGTGGATTAAATAAATTAATATGTTAAGTGTGCCTGGCCAGTTGGTAATCATTATAGAAAGGTAAGCAAGTGATTAAGAAAGTCAATCATGGTTGGAAGCCTGAGTGTGTGTTTGGTTGTCAGGGGTTTTGCAGAAAGTTTCATGTGGTTAAGTGGGGAAATTGGTCTTCAGGGACCACCGTGTAAAATCTCCTCCTGTCCCCTGTCCTGTTGAGCCCCTCCTTCACCGCAGTGAGCTTTGTCCCATCTCTCCTCAGCTTCCAGGTTGCCAGCTCCCGGCGGGCCAGTCTCTAGGTCTTCAATGCATGAGATTCATTTCTTTTTCCAGGACCACTTTCCTCTCCTGATTGTCTTTCGGGGCTTCCTCACCTTTCCTTTTCTGCTTCAGACTTGGTCCTTTCCTCTGGAGCCTCTGTTGTTACTTAGAATCTGTGTTATCACCACAGCAGTAAGCTATAGTCTGACTTCCATAGTTTGTCATTATTATTATTATTATTATTATTTTGTTACCCATTTAGCTGGTAGTTTTAAAATGTTGACTAGGTATGAAGCCTCATACCAAGCCCCAGGTACGGGAGGAGCTGGGCCACTCTTGTGTTTATATATCCCCTCCCCACCTGTCTGGGGTGGAGAGCTTATCTTAAGCCTGGTCTTAGCTGGTTCAACTGAAAGATTGAGAGCAGGGCTTAGGCCCAGGCAGTTTATTTTGGAAAGGTATCCCAGGGAACAGAAGTGGAAGAACATCCAAGGGAACAGTGACAAAGGGAAGGAAGGAAAGACAATCCAAGAGTGAATAAGTGAGCCGGCTACACGGTGTACACTTGTGCCTAAGCCAAGCGAGGACTCTGGGAAAATGTTGAATGTACCTCCTCACCCTCCACCTGGGTCACGGAAGCGGGGAGTTTTATCCACTGGCTCCCGTGGCCCGTTGGTCAAGGGTGCTCCAGAGCTGAAGCGCCCTCACTCTTCCAGGTGGGTGTTGGTGCGGGAGGGGCTGAGCAGGCAGCAGCTGGGAAGGCGGAGATCCTGGTGCAGTGAGGCTAAGAAGGCAGGTCACACCTGCTGGGCAAGCAGCCTTACACCACAAAGGTGGCCTGAGAGGATGTGAGAGCAGCATAATGAGTGCCCCCACACCTCTTCTTCCCTCCCAGCATCGATCAGCACTGTTTTGTAAAAGGGAGTTTCCCCCATTCTCCAAAGCTCTGAGAGCTCTGGGTGATGCTGAGATGTCCCTGTTGGTTCTCTGCTTCCCTGGGAGTCTTTGCCAAACTCTGGTGGACGCGGCCTCATGGGAAAGGCTTTGAGGTCATCTACTTGTAGGAAAACTTCATATTAGGGGCTCAGTAAATCCTCCTGTGATATTGTTGATTTGTTATAAGGAACGTATATTTGGTCTTTGTTCCTGGCACAGAGTCTTGAAAACTCTTGGAATTTCCTTAGTGATAAGTGGCAAGAAGGTGTTATTTGTTATTTATAACAAGCCCCTTTCAACCACACCTGTAACCACCGTTCTGTTCTAGGCCCCTCATGTAAGTGGGATCCCACAGTATTTGTCCTGTTGTGTCTGGCTTTTTTCACTTAGCATATCTTCAAGGTTCATCCATGCTGTAGTGTGTATTAGAATTCCCTTCCTTTTTAAGGCCAAGTAATACTCTGCTGTGCGTGTGTGCCACATCTTGTTTCTGCATTCCTCTGTTGGTGGACTTTGGGCTGTTTCCACCTTTTGGCTGTGATGAATAAAGCTGCTATGATCGTTGGTGTGTAAGTCTCTGTTTGAGTCCCTGTG